CCCTGGCCCACTGTGGCTGGGGGGCCTCTGCTGCCTCTGCCCCTGCCCCTGCCTGCTGCAGCTTTGTCCAGAAGGAAGGACATCTGGTCTAATTAGCATATGATCCTTTTATTATTATAGATGATTTCTTAGAGGGGTGTTTGGCTGGCATGAGGGACAGTGGCCCTGTCTTTGGGGCATTGTAGCTTAGTGGTTAGGAGCATGGCTGGATTCAGGTCTGAGTTGTGTCAGATTTCATCTCTGCCACTAATTAGCAGTATGACTGCAACTTAGCTAACTTTGCCTAGCATCAGTTTCCTCATCTGTAAAATGAGTGTCTCATTTGAGTACAGTGGGACCTTGACTTAAGAGTTTTTCGAGATAGGAGCCGTCTCTCGGCCGATTTTTTGCTTTGAGTTGTGAGCTAAAATTCGGGTTACGAGCCAGCTTCAGATACCCCACCGCTAGTTGGCGCAGCGAACCTCACAGTGAACGCCACAACATCAGCCCAGCATCATGTGTCTCGCTCATTCACTTTTTGAGTTACAAGCTCTGTCACGGAACGAATTAAACTCATAAATCAAGGCCCCACTGTATTAAATGAAGCCTTTAATGAGATGCTTGGCCTTGAGTAACCATCTCCTCCAAATGTCATTATTCTTTGAAAAATTTGCTGGATGGAGCTAATGAGCACACTGGGGAACATAGAAAGTAATTTGTTCGGCCTCCTGGGCCCAGGCAGAAGCACTGGGTACAGACACCTGGCCCCAGAGCCCTCTTTGTTTCAGAAGGAGATGCTGGGCTCTCCTTGAAAACCAGAGTTGAGTATTTTGATCTTTGAACTACCGAGAACAAGAGAGCATGCCCTTCCTTTGCGTCTAGACAAGACTTAGGTGAATTATATAGAAGATGGCAGGTTTATGAGGCAGGCAGTATAGAATGAGACACCTGGCTCCTTCCTGACTTGAGAGTGGCTCCAAGGAGCCTCAAGCTGCTATTCTGATATGAAATAGAGCAGGGTGTGGGTTCCAGGAGGGAGAAAGGGGAAGGGGTGGACCTGTTCTTAGAACAACAGGGCCGGATATAAGACCACAATGCCTTGGCGATTTCCTCAGCCTGTATCTCATCCCCACTCTCAGGGCTTCCCTGAAAGCTGACCTCTCTACAGCTTTTGGGGGTGGGGCTCCGGCCTGAGGCCAAGAGGGCAGGTAACTAGAGCTGAGATTCTTTCCATTGCCATTCTTGGGCTGGGACTGCATTCAGCAGGTGGTGGCAGGAATACAGGTGAGTGCCCTGGGTTTCTGAGGCCTTGACAAGCTCAGTGGCTAGATTAGGCCAGGATCTAGCCAGGGCTCTACTCTGCAGGCAGGAGAAGGCATTTCTACTGGGACTGTATGGGAAATAAGGGAGGTGAAGTGTGAAATTGGAGTGAAAAAGGGGCCCGAAGGATTAAAAAGTCCATCTTCCCTGATAGCTTTTCATTCTAGTAGGAATAAGGGAATGAGAGTGGCTGGGGGCAGGGGGTGAGGGTGCTGGGGTTTCCAGCTGAGATGACTTGCCGGAACCTAGGGAGGAGGTAAAATCAGGGGATGGAGGGAAGATTCCTTGAGACCACGTTGGGGGGCCCGGAAAGTGAAAAGACCCCTGATGGTGTCCGCTTTTATTTTTCTCTCCTAGCTCCCATGCTTGCCCAGGGTTCTGGGTGGAGGAGTGAAGCATAAAGTTCTCAGCATCCATGAGCACCTGAGGCTATCCTCACCCCAGCCGCTCGTGGGGTAAGGACAGGGCAGGTGTGGCCATTCCTCCCATGGCTACAATAGTAGCATCAGCCTTGCTTGGGAATCTGGTGGCAGCATACCCAGTACCATGCACCTGGCTAGCCACCGAGTGGTGGACTGTGGAGGCCTCCACCTGCTCAGTCTCCCTCCCAGGCTTCCTGACAGCCTGGCTCTTGGAATTGAGCCACAACAATCCAGCCACCTGCCAGGCGGCTCCTTCCAGGGCCTGTGGGGACTGCAAGTGCTGCTGCTTTCTCACAATGTCCTATGGGATTCGGCTGGTAGAGCACTGGGTGGCCTGGGTTTTTCTGGAGCAGCTGGGTGTCAGCTACAACCAGCTGGTCCACCTGTCCATGGACTTCTCAGCCACCCTGGGCTCTGCTCCGCCTACACCTCTCACAACCTGCTTGCCAACGTGGACCCCTGCAGCCTGTGGGGCCCGGGAAACCTGGAACAGCTTGACCTGAGCCACAGCCTGGCCACAGTTTGGGGGCCATTTCTGCCAACATTGGCTCTTGCTCACTGGGAACCAGCTGCAGCAAGTTGGGGATGTGGCCCTGGCCACCATGCCAGGCCTGGAGGTCCTCTGGCCGGGAATGACATCAGCAAGCTAGAGGCTGACTCCTTTGCAGCTCTGTGCATGCTGGGCCTCTCTCTAGTAGGTGACTCAGCACCTCGAATTAAGGTGATGGCGGGCATCCGGACAGCATGCACACAGCTGCTGCTGGCCAGTCATCTCTGCAGCAGGCTTTCCAGAAGCTGGGCCATCTGTGGCACTTGTATGTGGCCAACCTGGGCAATGTGACTTGTGCTGGACCTGGGAGGCTGGTAGGGGGCATAGCTGAGTAGTGTGAAGGCCTGGCTTTGCTTATCTGAGACAGTTACTGTGCTGGGTATCATAGGCACCATGCTAGTCACCATGGTGCTGTGGTCATGGCCGAGGGCAAGTGCAGGAGGGGGTGCCCCAGAGGAACAGGGAGGCCCTCTGGAGAGGAAGGGTGTGCTCTAGAGGGAAGCGGAGGCAGCTGGATTGGGGAGGGCAGACAGACCGAGGAGAAGGAATGCTCCTCAGGAGTCTTATGGGCTGTTGTGTGTCCAGGCAGGGGTCACGGAACGAGGACAAATGGCTATGTTCATCTCAGGTCTTAGAACCCCACTACTCACTTATTTACCACTTCTGACCTGGCACAAATGCCAGCATCTTTCCTAGCCCTATAAAGAGGGACTTGGCCTCTAGCCCTCAGTACCCCTCTGGGGAGAAAGCAATAAAAGATAGAGACTGAACACCAGAGGGAATTGGGATGGGATGGGGTGGGGTGGGATGGGATGCGTACCAGGGAAAATCTTCATGAATCCTATTCTCCTTCATACATGTCCCTGCCGTCTGTTTTGGGAGACTTAATCAGAAGGTGTGGTCTGGGGTAGGGGATTGTTCCAGGTGCAGGCTCCTAAAACTATTCATGGACATGTATGATCCCGTTTCCAGTCCTCAATACCTTAGCTCCTTCCCAAGGTTGTGTATCTTGTCCCATTTGAATCAGGGATGGGTGAGGAGATTAGGAAATAAAGTCAATTGGAAAGATTATTCTGTACTATGTGCTTGTGTTATGGTGATGAACACTTTCTCATGTAGCTGTCACTGGTGGGTAGGGAAGGTAGGCAAAATGACTTTTTTGTTGTTAATCCTCACCTGAGGATATTTTTTCCATTGATTTTTAGACCGAGTGGAAGGGGGGTGGAGGAGACTTTTCCCCAAGGTTGTGTATCTTGTCCCATTTGAATCAGGGATGGGTGAGATTAGGAAATAAAGTCAATTGGAAAGATTTTTCTGTACTATGTGCTTGTGTTATGGTGATGAACACTTTCTCATGTAGCTGTCACTGGTGGGTAGGGAAGGTAGGCAAAATGACTTTTTTGTTGTTAATCCTCACCTGAGGATATTTTTTCCATTGATTTTTAGGCATATCTTGTCCCATTTGAATCAGGGATGGGTGAGATTAGGAAATAAAGTCAATTGGAAAGATTTTTCTGTACTATGTGCTTGTGTTATGGTGATGAACACTTTCTCATGTAGCTGTCACTGGTGGGTAGGGAAGGTAGGCAAAATGACTTTTTTGTTGTTAATCCTCACCTGAGGATATTTTTTCCATTGATTTTTAGGCAGAGTGGAAGGGGGGGTGGAGGAGACAGAGAGAGACACCCTTTGGTTGCCTCCCGCTCTTGCCCCAACTAAAGTCTGCAACTGAGGTACGTGCCCTTGACCGGAATCTAACCTGCTACCGCTCCAACCACTGAGCAACCCAGCTAGAGCCAAAATGACCTTTAATCCAGGCTTTTTCTTATTCCTCTTACCTGGAGACCCTACCTCCCCACCCTCTGCCCCACCATACACCTACATAATTCCATTCCCTAGGATTTTTTTGTTTTTTGTTTTGTTTTGTTTTTGCATGGATATATCCCAGAAAACATCGATGTGAGAGAGATATATTGATTGATTGTCTCCCACACACTCTCCAACCCAAGCCTGCAACTGAGGTATGTGCCCTTGACCGGAATCTAACCTGCTACCTGCTACCGCTCCAACCACTGAGCAACCCATCTAGAGCCAAAATGACCTTTAGTCCAGGCTTTTTCTCATTCCTCTTACCTGGAGACCCTACCTCCCCACCCTCTGCCCCACCATACACCTACATAATTCCATTCCCTAGGATTTTTTTGTTTTTTGTTTTGTTTTGTTTTTGCATGGATATATCCCTCTCTCACATTCTAACATACCCAGACTTTATCCTAGTGACTTTGTAAAAAGTTAAATATGAAAAAGTGTTTGTAGTCTAGCTTTTACTGGCTGATCAAGAGTTTTTATTTTTTTAATAGAATTTTATTGATTTCAGAGTGGAAGGGAGAAGGAGAGAGAGATAGAAACATCAACGATGAGAGAGAATAATTGATTGGTTACCTCCTGCACGCCCTGCACTAGGAACTGAGCCCACACACAATCCAGGCATGTGCCCTGATCAGAATCGAACTGTGATCTCCTGGTTCATAGGGTGACCCTCAGTCACTGAGCCACGCCTGCTGGGCTGATGGGAAATTTTTAATTCACACGGTCAGAATGCTGTTTGGACGTGAGGCCCCTTTTCCCCCAAGGGAATTAGAAACAGACCTGAATTAAATGGCCTAGTGGGAGTGCTTATAGAACCTTAACTTAGTATTGGAAAGATAAATTTATATTGTAGCGTGGTGGGTGGGGTGCAGGAAGCTATGTGGGGGCAGCTTTGTGGTGGCAATCCCAGAATGCCCAGAACTTTTGCCCATTTATTTATCCAACAAATAATTACTAAATACCTACGATGAATAGGATAGTGGCAACATCTTTAGTTCACTTTATTCAGCACATATGTCCTGGATGCATCTTGTATACGAGGGCCTGCGAATATAGTAGTAAATAGACACCAGACACTGTCCTTGGCCTGGAGCTCACAAACTAGTGTTAATCTAATCATTAACAGAAGAATTAATTGCCTGTGTGCCAAGTGATTCAAAGGAAGGGTGCCTGATGGTTATGAAAATAAAATAGGAGGCTGAGAACAAAGGAGACCAAAGGAGAAGTGGGGGAGACCAGTTGGAAACCTGCTGCAGTTAAACCTACAAAAGATGGTAGTTTGGGCTAGATTGGGAGTGTGGCAATTGAAGAATATGGACTGATAGTGAGATGTCCCATATACACCTCAGATCTCTCTCTGAGGGGACGTAAGAAAGGCAGACCAAGACCATACTTCTCTACAGGTAACTTTGGAGAACCCCTTACTTTGAATTTATACAAAAGCAGAGGATTTCCTCAGGCATTTACCGAACCTCTATTATGTGCTAGCACCAACACGGTCACATTTAAACCTCACAGCAATCCTAAAGTAGAAGTCATTTCTACCTCACAGAGGAATCGGGAAGTACAGCCAGTATGCCCTAAGTAACAGGGCTGGAGTTAGGATCTAGCTGCATTCCAAGACTAGTTCGCTTCATTAAGTTTATGACTCAAGGCTTCCCACTGTTCCTTCCTTTAGTCTAGTTTTCAATTTTGCATCTACAGAGAGGGGGCCGTAAGCCTCCATGGGCAGAGGGAAAGGCTGAACTCTGTGCTAGAACATCTCCTTCGGTCCAGAACTACAGGACGTGAGCCTTGTTTCCCAACGGAAGATGTAAAAACAAACCCCGCGAGACCGGAAGTTGCGTGTCACACCCCCGCGCCGGGCTCCCAGACCCGGTTGAGGCCGCGGCGGACTGCCCTTCCCCAAGATGGCGTCGAAGGTGGGTTCGCGACGGTGGCTACTGCAGCTGCTCATGCAGTTGGGCTCGGTGTTGCTCACACGCTGCCCCTTCTGGGGCTGCTTCAGCCAGCTCATGCTGTACGCCGAGAGGGCCGAGGCGCGCCGGTGAGCGGGCCCCCGCGGTGGGAGGCTGGGGAAGGAGTTGGGCCTGGGGCTGGGAGGACCTGGGATCTCAGACTGTTAGGGGCTCTGGTCCGGAGCACGGTGGACATCGAGCGTAGTGCGGGGGTCACGGCCATGAGCGGGGTCTCCGGTTTGGAGGAGCAGTGGAGCTGGCGGGAAGTCAAGGGGGCTCCAGGCTCTTCTCCCCTCTTCATTCTGACCTCTTTGCTTGACCCTCCCGGCTTGCAGGAAGCCCGACATACCAGTGCCCTACCTGTACTTCGACATGGGGGCGGCCGTGCTGTGCGCCAGCTTCATGTCCTTCGGGGTGAAGCGGCGCTGGTTCGCGCTGGGGGCCGCCCTGCAGCTGGCCGTCAGCACCTACGCCGCCTACGTCGGGGGCTACGTCCACTACGGGGACTGGCTGAAGGTGAGCGGCCGGGCTGCGGAGGGCTTGGCTGGGGTGGTGGCGAGCCCTGGGCGTGCGGGGGTTTTGCAGACTGCAATGGACGGACCTGAGAGACCCACACACCTTCCTTCCAGAGTGTGGGAGCTGAGGTCCACGGATGGGAAACAGACTTACCCCAAGTCACACCACAGTTACCAGCGCAGGTGGAGCCAGGACCTAGGTCACCTGGTTTCCAGGACCCTAAACCGTTAGTTTAGTAATCTCGGACTCAGAGGGCTAAAGGAACCTTGGAGGTGTCTGATCCAAAGATGAACCCCTGCCAGGCGTTGTGGGCTTGGAGAGAGGTCTGTCCAGGAGGGGAGGCACCTGTGTGAGCGGCTACAGGAAAGTGAGATCAATGGGTTTTTTATGGAACAGACTATGCTAAGAGCAGAAAGAAACATTCTGGGCTGCAGGCCAGGGGGTGGGAT